AAAAGCAAAATCTATGCTACTCAGCGAACATCATTAGAAGACCTGCGACAAAGAATTGTGAATGAGTGCCTTTAAATTACTCCTCAAATATTGCAAAATGTGCGGCAACGTTTTGAGCAAAATCTTTATTATTGCATGGAGAGTCATGGAGGCCATATTCAACATTTACTTGCCTAACGGGTCATTTCATACTCCATTTTTAAATTACTTTGCTGCCAAATGTATTGATCTCCACTAATGATGATGTATTAGTTTTATTTACGCTTTAAATCAATAAATCTTCAAAACTACTGAACTGAAGTACATTAATTTTATATCATTATAAAGGGAATTGAAGGACCTTTAAAATAAGGTATCACTCGACCCAACTTTCCATTTAAGATTTTGGGGGTGGTGTCACTCCCGCTTAGTGGGCTGCACGTCGTAACGTGATTTTTTGCCAAACTTGTGTCCCCCTCGAAAACAAAATCGACGGGTCTGCGTATGTTTCGTTTTCGATGCGCCACCCTGTATATATTTGTATATAGAAAATGATCATGCGGAGAAAGGTATATGTATAACAAAAAGTAGGAAAATAATGGGCAAAATCCGCAAAAAGGAGGAAAGGTGATTCGAGCAGAAAATAGGTAAGGTAACCCAAGCGATACGTATTTCTGCTGGTTGGCTTCATCAGGTCATCTTCGTTTCCTCAGCTTACACCCGTATCCGTATGTATGGGCATGTGTATCTACTTTTGTAGCCAACCAGCAGAAATACGTATCGCTCGGGTTACCTTATCCAATTTTCTGCTCGAATCCACTTTCCTCCTTTTTGCGGATTTTGCCCATTATTTTCCTACTTTTTTTTATATATACAGGGTGACTTTGAAGTTGAGTCATTAATTTTCAGATAATGATTGTAGAAGGAAGATAAACCAAAATATGTGTGTAAAAATAAAAAAAAAATAAAAAAAAAATTTACCTTGTTTTATAAAGTATCCTCCCGACAAGTATTTCAGTGCGGACCTGTATTTGATCGTGAGGTCTTGGAGCACCGGCATGTCGTCCATATGTGAGGTCTTAAGTCAAACGATTCACGAACCCGTTGTACTACATTAACAAAGGCACGAGGGGTTGGTTGCACTCGATTGGGAAACCGATCCGCATAAACATGTGCCATTTTTTATTTCGTTTGAGCCACGAAACAGAACTGTATACAACTGAATGAAATAATTGTAAAAACATCTTTCCAAATTCTTTCGCTTTTTTGTTTCCGATGCGATGAACCGATAAGGCGAATTATATCCGTTGTCGCCAAACACGAGCACATAATATTATTATTGAGACAGGGCGGTACTCAAACTTCCAAAGAGCTATAACTTTGTTACTTTAATTTTACCAGAAAAATGGCAAAGGAAAAAAAACATTTCTTTTGATCAGATCTACTCACTGTTAAAATAAATGACTCAACTTCGAAGTCACCCTGTATATATGTAACAAAAAGTAGGAAAATGCACCTTCTTCCACATGATCATTTTCTGTTTATACATATAACCTATCTATAGAATATATAAATATTCCATGCAAAACACCTATGAACGAGATCTATTTTTATCATTTTAATGGTTTATGTATTTATGAAAAATGTCTGTTGCGACTTCACAATCCCGCTGATTTTGGAGCCTAACATCCTATAAAAATCGTAAAACCTCCGTTTTACCACAGAGAGGTACACAACTAAAATGCAGATTCTACGAAATAGAAAAGTATCTATTTAAGGGAGTGATGCCTAGATACCACTGGCAACCCTGATTGATCAAATGAGCAATGTCGAATTAGAGAGGTTTTCAAAGAACCAATCAAAAAATCATTGTTTTACTGTTTCTGGCCAGTATGAAAAATGCGGTTTATTAATGGTATTTAGATATTTCTCGTAAATGTTTTTTTTAATTGGGTTGATAGTTTCTTAACTTATAGCGTATTCTAACACAACTCTTTTAACTTCGGATATTTTTAATCAAAAGTGGGTCTTTGCGTCTATAATACTATCACAATTGCCAAAAATTATTATTTAGTTGAGAGTAGTGTCTCGGTCTATGTCTAATGCCTATGAACAACTCGATCAGCGATGATTAAGGGAGATATTTCTGGTATATCCTCCTGGGACCCAGCGTCCATTTAAATGGACATTCAGTTTTATACTTCCAGTTTCGTTAATTTAATATTTACGCAGCGTAGACCTCGCATCCACTACGTTGGACACTTCCGTGCTGCTGCCTAGTCTGATTCGGCCGACTTTAGTCTCGCACCTGCGCCGTGAATCAGTAAGTTTGTTTTCTGTTGTGATGGCGGCTGCACGTGATTCTCGTTTAGATGGTATGTAACCTATTTTTTAACATTATGTGCTGATTTAGGAGGAAATATATATTCGTTAATGTTTAATAGATACATTTAAACAGCTTTATAATAATAAAAATTTTAAATAACTTTTGTACTAGCCTAAATTATTTGCGTCCATTTAAATGGACATTGGGTCTATCTCATGAATATTTTTGATTTATTCGGAAAATTTATTTTAGCAATTTTTGGCAATAAACGAGTGCTTCGGCCAGGGGAAGATGACGAAAAATTGGAGCAAATACTACAACTCATTGCAAACGATGATTCTGACGTTGAAATGTCTGATGATGAAAATGAAATTGAAAATATGGATAATTTACTAATTTAGTACAGAGAGAGGACGAAATAAATGATGAAGACCTGGTGAGCAGCAGTGACGAGGAAGGAGAGGACAGAATTCCTCTTAGTGTCCTTAGAGAAAAGTTAAGAACGGCCAAACAAACTCCCAATTCTTCGCAGCGACAGTTTTTGAGAAGGAATGATACTTTTACACCTCCAAATTTTGAAGGTCCGTCTAGTGAATGCAGCGCACAGCTTCGCGATGGTTGGACTGCAAAATCGTATTTTGCCATGTACTTAGAAGATGACATGTTCCAAAAAGTATGTGATTGCACAAATGCAAGGTATGTTGAACTTAAAGGAGTATCCCTTAGATTGACACTTAATGAGATTAAACATTTCTTTGGGATAATTTGTTTAATGTCCTGCCTAAAATATCCTAGAATCAGAATGTACTGGGCCAAACCCACGAGGGTTGCAGCTATTGCGGATGTTATGACTCGAGATAAGTTTTTTCTATAAGAAGTAACCTCAAAGTCGTAATTGATGGCAGCATCTCTGAGGAGAAACGCAGGTATGACAAATTTTGGAAAGTGCGTCCTATTTTAGAAGCAGTATTGCAGGGGTGCTTGCAGCTACCCAGAGAGAAAGTAGTTGCTGTGGATGAGCAGATGATACCATTCACTGGAACTTGTCAAATGAAGCAGTTTGTTAGGGGAAAACCCAATCCAGAGGGATTGAAAAATTTTGTTGTTGCTGCTCCTGATGGTCTTGTCGTAGACTTTGAACTATATCAAGGAAAAAATACGTTTCCAGATGATTCTGTAAAACGACTTGGTGTTGGACCTTCTGCTGTTGTTCGGCTTGGAAGAACATTATTTCCTGGAACTGTGTATTGCGATAGATATTTTACGACAATACCACTTCTTGAATATCTTCGCCAACAAAAGAAATATTGTACTGGAACGATTATGAAATCTCGCGTACCAGCGGCAGCACATTTAACTTCAGACAAAATGATGGCCAAGATAGGTAGAGGTAGCTCGGAACAAATTGTAAGGCAAGATGGCGAAATAGTGGTTGTACAGTGGTATGACCTGAAATCTGTACTTTTGGCATCTACTCGTCTAGGAATTCAACCTAGTGATGAGTGTAAACGGTGGTCTAAGAAAGACTCTAAATACATACAAGTTGCAAGACCTTACATTGTTGCTAAATACAACGATTGTATGGGAGGAATTGACCTGATAGGCCGAATGATCAGCTATTACAGAATTCAAGCCAGATCAAAAAAATGGACTGTGAGAGTCATTTTCCATTTCTTTGATTTAGCATTGGCAAACTCATGGATTTTTTATCGATGAGATAAAAAGATATTTCAAACCTCTACACGAACAATACAGCAGTATCTAGATTTTAAAATCGAAATTGCCACGTACCTTTTGAAAAATGAATCCAACATTTTCCAAGAAAATATACGAGGTATAGGAACTCGAAGAAATCCTGAGGGTAATATCATTGTTGATTCACCATCAGCAGGCACCGAAAGAAAGCGGAAAGAACATTACCCAGAAATTGCCTCAGATTTAAGAAATTCGGTTCGATGTAAAAATGACAGTTGTACTAAAAAAACGAAGTTTTTTTGTAATAGATGTAACACATTCTTATGTATAACTGATTACAGAAACTGCTTTATAGAGTTCCATAACAGATAAATTTAAGTTTACGTTTATTTTCTATGTTCTTATAAGTTTAAGTTTTAATTTTAAATGTATTTTAACCATCTAAATAACTTATACATTAGGCATTTTTGTATAGGTTAAGACCCAATGTCCATTTTAATGGACGTCATGTATCTTTCAAAATAAGAAAAAAAATAAAAAATGTCCTCAGTAAAGAATGTTTGTTAATGTATTTTCTGTTATATTTAAAAACGTCACAACTCTAACTTATGAAAAACATGTCTGGGTCTCAGGAGGATATAATAATCATTTTCAAATATTGTAGCGACATCTATGGTGGAAATACACATATGTATGAACTAGAATGAGCATTAGTTAAAATCTCTAAGGATAGATGACAGATTTTAGTATTAGCATCTTCACCAGCACTCTCTTTTCACAGTTAGCACTGTCAGTATCTTAAATACTATTCTTATAGATGGCGACAGTAAAATATCTTAAGTTCTTCTCCTGTAGATGGCGCTAAGATAGGCTTCGGAAAAGGGGCGTAAATGTACTAATGATAAAGACTACGTGACTAATCATCATTCCATTGATTCGCCTATTGAAATACAGGCGTATTTTTCTCAGTTGCACAAATTTTACCTCTACTTGTTGGCGACACTGATCTTACTGACAACATCAGCGTCAACGGCATCAACTGTCAATAGTGTCAATCATCAAGTTCGCTTTTTTATGGGAATGAGAATATTTCCGAGAATATTTAAAGTTTTCGAAAAATAACGATTCTTGTTGGAAACATGAATTAGAATCTGGTAATTCATCGTATTTAGAAAACCCCAAAGATGAACGGTAAGAAAGTACAAACTTATAAAGCAAAATCACCCTTGAAGATAATTACACTCTTTGCATTGTTTATGCCGATTCCTAAATTCATTCACGCCATTTACCATTTTTATTTAGAAATATATTACATTTGTATGGATTACAATCACATGGATAGTTAAACCTATCTACTGTGTATCACACATTGGCTAAAACTTTTACAAGACTTGATAAATCTGAGAAGCTAGAAAGGTATGCTAGTTTCTAATTGCTTGGATACTCAAAACAACTTCTTACAGCTACTGTATTCTTGTCAATACTGTGCATCATCAGAAACATACATTGATTTTGAATATATTTCTCAAATGCTCCTATTACATTTTGCAGCTCTCATTATGTTAGTAGACATGCAAGATTGCTGTAAAAGATGCAGTATTGTATTCACTTCATGTGTTCAATTATGTTTTTAGTCTACAACACCATGCCCAGTCATGTGGCTGATATGGGCATGGTATGGATGGGAACAGGGCAACCATCTAATGATGTTCCAATTGGTATGGTTAATAGCGAAGGCTCAGAAATGCTCCTGGATCACCATGAGAACATATATTACACACCATCCCATAACAGCATGTCCAACCATTCTATGGAAGATCTTCAAGGGGTCCACGGGGCACAAATAGTAAGTTTATATAAATTTGGATTAATATACTAATAAGTCTATTCACTGAGTTTAGTAAAGATAATCCCTAATCTATTAATTTTATAAACATGTATAACTTGAGAAGTACTGCACAGATATTGATCAAATTTTCACACAAAATTACTAACAAGGTGGTGGTGGAGCTAGGGGCAAAAACAAAAAAAATCACTTGAACTGTTTTGACATTTCAGAGATTCCAGATCATTTTCAAAAAATATTTTGTAGGGGTCGAAATTTGGGGGTTGTAAATGTAACATCTTCAATATTAGTCCAAGACTTATCATTAAGAAGCCCTGAAACAATGGGGAAATCCATTGATAAATGTCTGATGATAATGTGCTCATAATTTCAAATAACTTGTAAGAAGCTACGGGCCCAGTGATACTATTTGCCTGCAGAATATGATAGATTTGCTTTATATAGTGTGATATGCCGAGGTTGAAAATTCATCATAAATGAACCTACTTAATTACTTTTCGATTTCACCTTTTGAAATGATTTGACTCCTCTCATTTCTTTGAAACTTCCAAAGAGGGTGTAGGAAGTATAGAGTCAATCTACTTGACCCCATTTATTTATTTATTTTCTGGAAAATATAAAAAAAATCCATCTCATCCATTGTGGAATCTAGATAATTTATGGACAAGCTGACATTTGATATTTGCAATTTTCTTATTCAAAAAGATCTTCCTTTACACTACTACATTGGTTGTTCTTAACAAAAAAAAAACGAAAAACATATGAATCATGTGCTCATAGAATCAGAATGTTTTATTGTGTTATAGTGAAGTATTATGTACATATCCATATAAAAATATCTTGAAGAGCAGAAAAACCTGTGGTGGCTTATAGCATTTTCTACTGGTATGCACTGGTGCATTTCAGCACTTAAGTGATTCTTGCAGTGCATCAGTGTAAGATAATATCAAGAAAGAAACGATTTTGTGGGAACAAGACTAGTGCAGAATGACTATTTGACAATATATGACAACATATTTGAATGGTGTGACTGACCTATCTATCATATTTTGTGCTTCCATTTGAGTCCACTGATTTAGATGAAGTTGTCGATGTTAGAGAAATAGTCCAAACTGGGAACTCTTTAGGTATTTTGACTTGATACCTTGTTGTCTACTGTAAAAATCTTGGGTCACATGCATACCAGTGGAAAATAATATAATAATTTCTGTTTCCACAAATTAGTTCATGATTACCTTAATGCTCATTTATCTATGAATGGTCTATAATCAGTTGCTAGCCATACCATATTGTACTTCTCTTCATTTTACTGTTCAGCAATATTTATAATCTTTTGTACATAAAGTGGTTTACAGATGAAATCATATGAATAAATTTACAGAGCCCTATGAACCAATATGATGATGGGTCCCATCACTACCACCCCTTCTCTGATGATATGAACATGAAGCATGATAGCAATGACTCAAGCTATAGTGCAACAGATGATAGTCAACAGAATGTTTATATGATAACCACAGCTACTCAAACCCTGCCTTGTTCCACCAGGAAGATCAAACCTGTTAAACATCCTGGTTTAGTGCTGAAGACACCTATTGCTTACCAGAGCAATACTGATCCTTCTGTTATACCTATACAGAAAGATGGAATAGGTAATGCAGCAAAATTTCTCTCACTACTATTTCTAATCTGTGTGACTGATTTTTCTTTGTAGCTGTTTGTGAAAAATGTGGAGCAATAGGTGTTAAACATGCTTTCTACACCAGAGAGCGTAGGTTTTGCAGCATGGCATGTGCGAGAGGCTATAGTGGCCTTATACCAGAACCTTTGCCTCAGATGAACCAGAATATGCCTGATAGTAAGCAGCATTTTGCCAAATACAAATTCACTATGAAAATGGAAGATGATTTTACAGATAGCTACCTCGATCAGGTGAGAAAAGAAATGAAACTCTACTGATATTTTATGAACTTTTATTTTTATTCTGTAACATCGATAAATAGAAACTTATATTTATTATAGTCAAATAGGGTCTATTAAACAGTAAAAATTCTTTGATGGATACATAATAGTATAAATCATTTTTGTAAGAATATATTTGAAAACTGTAATAATGCAAATAGCTCTCAAAGATCCAGATAACTAAACTTATACATTGATGATAAGAATCTACTTACTCTCAACATCATACTTGTCAATTATGGACAATATTGACAGCTTTACTAATTACAGTAAACTTAGAAATATCGACATAATTATTGTGTAAGTTAAGATGCTTCAAATGTTTAAGCTCCAAAAATGGTATCTCAGTTAACTCTTTCAATTTATTGCCAGATAGGTCTAGAGATTTCAGTTCAGAGCATTTCTCAAATGTCTTGGTTTCTATTTGAGTTAGTTGGTTTTCTTTGATATCAAAAAATTTCAATTTTGGCAAGTTGATTACTCCTTTAATAAATTTGATGTTGTTTGAGTCCAACATACATACTTCCAAGTTACCTAGCCTATTGAATTCTTTAGCATTAAGCAGCTCCAACGAATTATTTGTCAGATATATTTCTTTTAAATTTTCAAGACCATTTAGAGCATTACTTTCTACAAATTTAATATGATTGATAGTTAAATCCAACTGCTCCAAATTATACAGACTTTCAAATATATAGGAAGGCAATGTTTGTAATTCATTTGAACTTAGGTCTAATTTTGTTAACCTTCCTAGATGATTGAATGATTTTGGACTGAGCTTTCGAATTTTGTTATTTGACAAATTCATGTCTTCAAGGTAACTCAGTCCTTCAAAGTTGTTGTCAAAAATATCTTCCAACCCAGTTTTGATCAGCTTGAGGTATGTGATGTTTATGAATCCTATGAAAGCACCTGGTTCTATTTTCACATTGTCACTGTCCAATATCTGAATACTTTTTAGTCCTGAATAAATTGGATTTGAGTATTGGTTGCGTTTAAATAACAAGTTCGGCGATTCTCTGATAAAAATCACACTGGTCCCTGTTTTGATAAGGCGGCCTATATCAGAGACTGTTTTCAACTCTGTACAGCTTAGTACCTGTTCTTCCAAAGTGTAATGGCATTTGTTAGGGTTCTGAGCTTCATCTAAGGCTACCATCGTCTTCAACGATACTAAAATAATTATAAAGCCCAATGTATTTTCCTGAAAGTGTAAAGGTTAATAATTAAATCTAGTGAATCACTTCTTCTTCAAAACTGTGAGGCATCTCTTTGCTCACAGCATATTGCTCCTCATGTTCGATCAAAACATATTCAACTGTGGCTGAGTTTATCCTGTAGTAAATCAGATCGCCGGAAATACACGACATTAAGCGGGCAATATAAAAAGCACGCCAATTTTAAAAGTGTTTTTGATTAAAATAGCTCATTTACTCCCACTTTCGTGAAAAGTTAAAGTATCAACAGATGCTTAAACAAAAAAAATAAGATAAATAATAGGCCTAATAATAGTAATAATTCCAGTTGCTGCTTTTTGACCTTATAAAAAATCACTAATTCTGTAACTCTGTCGTGAGGTTTGAATAGCCCCATTTTTTACTCAAATCATTGATTAGGCAAACCAAAAAACCACTTACATAGCTAATGATTCCTCAGTCAACTATTCAAACAACAAACTTCACAAATATAAATATTATAAACATAACTTACCATGTTACGAGATCAATTGGCTAGCGCGACTGAGAGTGGGATTCAAACTATTCAACCTTCCGAGGTTATCAAGACGTTCTGTTGTTGTTTATTTTTTATGTATTTGTATTTAATTGACTCGATTCGCCGAGTCACTGACGTTTAATGTAAGATACGTACAAGTAAATAGAAAACAGAGATATTTTGATTTTACTTCGCGGCACTGACAAGGAAATATTGTAGTCGCGGAAACTTTCGAAAATGAAATAATGTTTTTTGGATCTTAGCTGACATCTTCATCACGAAAAACCATGTCACTCATTTCCCTGGGTCTGTCTTCTTTTTGTCTGTCCGCTAATCTTATAACCGCCTATAACTGGAAAAGCACTGCTCGGATTTCAATGAAATTTTTACACAACGTGCTACTATGCCAAGGACGCAAAAGCTTTGTAGTGTTTGAAAATCGATCCAGTAGCGACAGAGAAAAAGACCAAAAACGAAATAGAATAAAAATTGATAAACCTCCATTTTTTGACGTTTCAGAGGATCCGGAGGTTGTATGAGGGTGGGGGGATATGTTAGTGCATTTATACGCTCCCAAACTTGGGACTTCTACGCACCTATTAGACATTTCACACAATATAGATTTCTCCGTACATTAGCCCTTAAAAATTACATAAATAATCTCAGCAGACAGGTCGCAGTACCTACTGCCCGCAGATGCTGCTCCCGGTGGCGTGCAGCGGGATAGTGCAAAGCGTAGTGTTTCCTATGCTCTGACCGCGTTGCCACGTCTGACGGCGTGAAGTATCGCGTTTCCAAATGCACTACCGGTAGGGCAGGTAAAGAATGCCTAAAGCCTAATTGTATATGGACTTGTTTGAATGACGTATTTCTCAGTGGGTCTAGTTTGTGCTGAACATAATTTTTTATGAACTGATAACGGCGCTGCGTGGGTAGTGCAGAGTCAACCTACTTGACGCGCTTTTTTGTTGACATTTCTGAGGCTTCTGATCATTTTTGAAAGGGTTGGAGTTGTTGTGGGTGGGATGTTGCATCTTTGATATCAGTGAAAGACGTTCTATCGGTAAGAGGCTTTTGGCTCCGGTAGCAAAGGAAAAATTTATTGACAAAAATCCGATTAATATTTTGTTCACGATTCCAGATAAAGTGTGTAATTTTATGCCGTTTCTTAAAGCAGTGTGTTTAATATCCGATTTAGTTTGCAATATGATTATCAATTTGTTCCGCAGTTCAATATTTATCATGATTGGATTCAGAATTGGCGAGATACAAAAAACTCTCACACATTAAGTAATTACAACGTCAGGCTTTTCTGTTAATACAACAACTGAAACTTATCCTATGGTTTTCAGGCTGATAATCCTCCCTGTTTGTTTGGCCGTTAAATGAAACCCCATACACTTGAAATTTTCCTTACTGAAGACGTTTCGACCACAACGTTAGTCTTTTTCAAGTACAATGGATTGAGAATTGTCAACTGTACACTATGGTGGCCAAAACTTCGTCGTATTTTAATCATTAGTTGATGCATTTCGCCGCCAGACAAACGTGGAGGATTGTCGTGATTTTCGTTAATCATGAGAAATTACCAATAATCTTCATCAGTCTAGTTAGGCTTTTCCCGTGTTATTAAAAACAATTTGCATGAAAATTTAGTTGTTATTCTAACAATATTGCAGCGAGTCAAGGTTTGATAGTAATTTTAATGACAGTATTTCTACGTCCCTTTGGTTGCAAGATGTCACAAGATTACTTGCAGAGATTTTAATAGGTAACCAGTTTCTGGTGTTACTAGTTGAACATTTTATTTGTTCATATGTAGTAATTTTTTATTTTTCTTTCTCTTTTACCATTAGCCACTGCCACAGTTGTCTCCTTCACAGATAAAGCTAGAGGACAATCAACCCATAGTTAGAAGGAAGCCAGCTTCGTTGGCAGATTCTTTTGACTGGGATCACCTTCTAAATGACAGGTAGGGTTTCGAAATTTGTCACTCCATCTAGATATCTACAATTCCCTCTAAAATAGTATGTGTTCTGTGTTGAAAATGTTGTGTGAATATTCAATAATATTTTTCCAAATATCGCTTATAATAGGATTATTTTCCATGTCTTGTGACGCAATCGTCTTATGACATTCCGAACATCATTTTTCTTTTTAGATATTTTGTAGCAGCGCCAGTAACATGTTTTAAGCATGCTCCTATGGCGGACGTTTGGGAGAATGTCATGGTCGGTATGAAGGTAGAAGTCGAAAATACTGATTGTGATAACGTATCAGATGCTTTTCCCGACTCCTTTTGGGTCGCTACTGTGATGAGGATAGTTGGCTACAAAGCCCAGCTAAGATATGAAGGTATTGTTATTCTCTGGTATACTTATATATTTATTCGAAAAAATTACCTTATTCCCAATAAAGAACATTCAAATCACATCACACAATGACAGTAACGTAGTTGAAAAAGTTTTACTGTTAGTAAAGTATTAAGCAGCAGGCGTTCGGAATCACTGCAATACAACACTGTGAATGTCGATTATTTTTATGTGTAATGTCAGTGGCGAATATAATGGGGACGGCCTGGGGCTATTTGAACGGTACGGTACGAATTTTCCAGTTTTTAGGTGAACTACTATTTTGTCTTATGCATTTTTAAGACTTGGGACTGTTGTCTGGCCATAACACGTTAATGCGTCACCTGCACGTGATGGGGGTGGCTGAAGATTCCTTGTGTGAGCGCTGCGGGGTAGAGGAAGAGACCTCGGCGCACGTTTTGTGTCGCTGTGAAGCTACTATAGGCAGACTATACTGGGGTCCATTACTTTCGACTCTCAGGACGTCAAGGAGCTTGGACTCAAGGCGATTCTCAACTTCGCTAAAAGGGCGAGGCTTGTGATCTAAGGATTGAGGTGCTTAAGGGCCCGCTTAAGCGGCCTATGCACTGGCTCCTTATGGTGTCCGGAATGCCTCTAATTTCAAGATTCATTCATTCATTCAAGGCAGGAGACAAAAAATATTGTGAAAGCGCCTGAACTGTAAGTTATTCATCCATCCCAAAATTGACAAAGCAGTAGGAAATTCACCTGTTTCAGCTTTGTGAATTGATGATTTTTGTAACTGAAGGGTATCATCCTTCAGTCTCAATATTTTAATGGAGACATAGTATGTATTTGTTACTGCTCCAAATGTGGAATCCTATGGCCAAAACTTGAATTAAGGCTACAAACCGAGAACTGCTGTCATATTTACATTTTTTTCTCGCTTTGTGATTAAATATCAGTATGTGTGACAAATTGATGATGATTTTTTCAAATCCGCAGATGGTAGCCTCAAACATTTTGCACCTGTTTTTGAAACTTTAATTCAGTCATTTCGAGAGACATACATTAAATCTTAGCAATAATATCTCAGATTATTTTGTTTCTTCGGTCATTTATCGTGTTGCTAATATTGTATAAAGACATCCTTTTTAATTTATTAGATACGAAGCTGAAACGCGTACTTCAAATATCAATTTTGTCTTTAGGTTTCGGCTCAAACAATTCCAAAGACTTCTGGGTGTCACTGTGTTCCAACAGAGTACACCCTGTGGGGTGGTGCGCTACGAGAGGAAAACCATTAATACCACCCAAAACAATAGAAAATAAATACTGTGACTGGAAGGACTTTCTAAGGAAGAGGTTGACTGGTGCCAGGACACTGCCTAGCAATTATAGTGTTAAAGCCAGTGAAAGCATCAAGTCCAGGTAAGAAAACTATACTGGTTGTTTTTAAAAGTCTTATGCCCGGTTGCACTGCCTTGCTAGCGTCAACTTTAAGCTGAGCTGTACCTAAATTTGAATATGAAACTTATCGTGTGCCATTCATGCTGATAATCCTCCATGTTGTTGGCCGCTATATGAAACCACAATAACTTCATATGTTTTGAAATACAGTTTACTGATATTTATGAAATACAGATAGCGCAGAAATTAATGAAATTGGCGAAATTAAACTGCTGTGAATGGATTTCCAGCCCAAATCCGTAATATGACAATATTTTGAAAGTTGTGGTAACAGGACTTCTTTCCAAAGCTATTCATAACATATGAAAACATCTGTTTTCATATTGAGGGTAATTGACGTCAGCCTAGAATTCATTTATTACTTATAAGGATGTGATACACATATTCATACTAGTGGCCGCTGTCCTCAACCTATCCATCGTAGAGGCTTGCGGCAACTGCAATCTTGAATCTAAAAAAGTGATTTCCGCTATATTAACCTAACAAAAAAAATATCTGATCTTTAAATTTTTTGGATAATGTGAACCTTTTTTGTTTGACAATTTTTGCTGTATCTCTAAAAATAAAGTGGGGGTATTGAAAGGTTTCCGTAAAAAACACCCTATATCTTCGAAACGGCTGAGCCGATTTTAACAAACTTGGGCTACTTGAAAAGAGCTATTCTTAGGCTACAAATAATAGTTTTACATGTGGCCGCTAGAGGGTTTTTTCAACATTCTGACAGAAATAGTTAATTTTCTCAACAAAAAAAATTAAATGCATTGGTATGAGTTTTTTATGAAAAAGTACCTAAATGATGTCTAAACAAGCTCGCGAAAACCGCATCAGGCTATCTTGTTCCTAACCTAAAATTTAAACTAAAGAAAATTTTATATTTTTCTAAACCAATTTTTCTGGAATTTCTTTTTATTATTAAGTCATGACCAGTACGCTCTATGGATTTCTGAAACCTCTCATGGCTAGAAAAAACTGCAGCGTCAATTTCCGATCTCGTCATGTTACTCGTTGCTTTACGAATCTGGTTTTTCATATCTTGTCTGGTTGAAGATTGAGTCTGAAACACGATGTCTTTTAACCGTCTCCATAAATAAAAACCCAAACAAGTTAAGTCTAGTGATCGCGAAGCCCACCGCTGTTGAAATACTGCACTAATATGCTCTCGCACAATAATAGCAAAATGAGTTTGACAACCGTCCAACTGCAAAAACAACTTTTGCCGAGTTTCCAGTAGCACATGTTCTAACAACAACGGTAACTGATTGTCCAAAAAGTCAAGAAAGACATGATCATTTAGGGATTGCTCGAAAAAATATGGCCCAGTAATTCTACCTCCCAGTATGCCATACCACACACATAAACTCCAACGCCCTTGGTGCTGAACTTCACGCAACAATGCGGATTTTCTGCAGACCAATAAAGCATATTTTGCAGATTGACTCTCCCGTCACTATTAAGGGTGGCTTCATCGGTCCAAAGAATTTGAAATAAAAATTCTCTATTTTCGCATATCATGTTTCTTCCTCTTTCAAGACCTGATGCAAAGCTACATGATATGGGTGCATTCTAAAAGTAATTAAAAACAGTTAAACTCGAGTGAAACCCTATACAGGGTGCCCGCAAAGTTGGGGTTTTCCTTTACACGACGTGTAGATCTTGAAAACATAAGCAATTTTTCTTAGTACCATATACACCAATGTCTTAAGGGAACCGAGATAAAGGGCTCTGCAACATCAAAAATATCTGAATACCGTCCTGTAGCCGCGCCATCACGGAGTGGTAACAATGTCACTGGCTCAACGACAGAACTGGGTCGGGGGTCGGGGTCAGTGTATCAGGCAGGTCAGTATGCAACCTTCAACCGATGGTTACGGTCACGCCTGTAGAGGTAATCGCGTAGACGATAATCCCTCAACAAGCACTAGAGACGTGGCTAGAGAAGTGCAAGTATCAAAAACTAAAGTGTGGCAAACGCTGCGTGAAGACGGGCTATATCAGTTTCACGTCCAACGTGTACAAGCCCTTCAACCTGACGATTTTCCAGCAAGAGTGCGGTTTTGTGAGTGGTTGTTGCATCAACATGACAATAATCCGGACTTTTTGAAGTGCATATTGGTGACAGACGAATCTACATTCACGCGTAATGGGGTGAGTAACTTTTGCAACACTCATGTTTGGTCAGTAGAAAATCCACGCTGTCCGTCGGGCACATTTTCAACAAACATTTTCGGTGAATGTTTGGGCTGGCATGGTGCGTCTGCTCGGTAGTGCATCAGCTGATTTCATTTTCTGTTGGAGCGGTATGATTTCGGGCAGAGACGTACTTAGCCCTTCTCGTCAACTGGAGAGTGAGTACTTTTTCCTTTATTTTTTTTTACTTGGTCGCCCTCGTTTCACTACACATTACCTTTGTTATTTCAAGGGTAGTTGTTTCTGAAAAGGAAAACCCCAACTTTGCGGACACCCTGTATTTTTATGGTCATTAGAACTTACCTATGGTCCTGTAAAATATTTTGAACCGTTGTTCTTGATGTGCCTAAGTCGAGGGATAATGCATTTGTGCTAACATGAGGACTTCCTTCAATATAACCCAGTACGCGGTTAATATTTTCTCGTGTTCTTCCAATACGTTACCGTTGAAACATTGGTCGAAAACTACCATTGGCTCGTAAGCTCGCCACTAATCGGGGATAACTCTCACATCACAAAGACGCCGATTCCGATATCGAATCGCGTAAACTCTTTTTGCTACTGCAGCATTCTGAAGACATTCAAAATAAACTGCAAGCATTTGGTAAGCACCAAAATTGCTGAAAGTAACGTGAAACTATTGACAACTATGCTATTGACAATTTGAGGCTTATTTATGTTTTGACTAGGTACGTGTTTTATTGTATTCCATGGCCTGCTTCTACTAATTGTCTTTTTCGAATATGCCCATCGTGAATATGCATTTAAACAAAAGATATGCCTTTTGTTATTAGCATTACTTACCTTTTAGCGATATTTTGTAATATTTTCAAATAGGGTGATTTCATTATCATGAATAAAAAACAATTCCAGAAAAATTAGTTTAAAAAATAAAAATTTAAGGGATTTCCTATAAAATTTTCTATGGCCTAAGATTTAGGTTAAGAACAATATATCGAGATGCGGTTTTCGCGAGCTTGTTTAGACATCATTTATCTACTTTTTCATAAAAAAAATCATACGAATGCATTTTCTTTCTTTTTTTTTTTTTTTTTTGTTGAAAAATTAAGAATTTCTGCTAGAATGTCTAAAAAACCCTCTAGCGGCCACATGTGAAACTAACAAAGTTTCAAATATCATATTTGTAGCCCAAGAATAAATAGCTCTTTCCAACTAGCCAAAGTTTGTTAAAATCGGATCAGCCGTTTCGAAGATACCGAAACCTTTAAATATCCCCCACCACTTTATTTTTAGAAATACACCAAAAATTGTCGAACAAAAAAGTTCACATTATCCTCGACTTTGAATATCAGGTATTTTTTGTTAGATTAATATAGCAGAATTCACAAAAACGTCACTTTTTTAGATTCAAGATTGCAGTTACGCCCCCTAGCGGCCATTTCAAAAACTTGAAAATATTTTCCTGCTTTTCCCCTGGCCGTTTTAGTAAGATTTTTTTTACCGCAAGCCTCTACGATGGATAAGTTACCAGTATCAGCAATTACCATTAGGATTGCTTTTTGAAATACAAATGCAAAGGCAGTGTCATTTAAAATACAATGCAAAGCCAGAGTCATTCCCGGTAGTGACAGCAAGGCAGTAACGCCACTTTTATTAATTCGTCAATGTATTTAATAAATTCACAACTCAACTCTTGGAAGAAAATCCTGGAGTTTTCGATTGTACTCGCTGTATGTGGTATGGGTGGAGATCGTTCTTTCTCTAAATTCGGTGAGCTGAACTTTTGGGCACTCCCGTCCTTGCTTCTATTTGATGTAAGGAAAGTAAATTCTTCCTTCACCATGTGCAAGCCTAGCTGCAGCATTAGCATTGCATCCTCTATAAATGAGGTGCATGTTGGCATATTCCTGTACGGTGTACACCTACACGGTGGCACTACACAATCATGAATTAATAAGTGGCAATACTATATGTCTTCTTCTATTCGTCATTGTCCGTCAGAGCGGTCCGTGCCTCTGTCAGGTCTGGTTGCCCAGATACCAGATGAAGTCAGGGAGAAAGAAAGGAATGAAGGGGGAAGAGCAAAGAGGGTGAAGTGCGCCGGTTAAAGGGATATCTTGCTATTGTTAACTGGTATTCGGTTATTTTAAATTCATCCAAAAATTAATTTGGGAATTTGTGTGTGCCAAATATCGTAATTTTGGTAGGACCTAGAATTGCACGATTTGATTTTGATCACAGTGCGAGCCGCTGTCTTGTGTGTTTGCAAACTTGCTCGACTGCGTGGTCTACTGACTCATGCAACATAGGGTTGCTCTGCGATTCCGCTTGACTATAACCTAACTAGCCTGATGTTTGATGTAGTTCCTTAGGTAAGTGATGTCGAGGTCTCTGTGAAGGGTCTCGTTTGAGACATACCGCGGTGCGTTAGTGATGGTTGGCAAGGTTCTGTTCTGCAAAACCTGCAGATTACGCATATGGGTTTTGGCAAGAAAACACCATGCTACACATGCGTAAGTGATTGCTGGTCTGATCACCATCTTGTATAGCCGAACTTTGTTATCCAAACTTAATTTTGAGGTTCTACATAGCAAAGGGTAGAGTTGCCGAAAAGTAATTTGGAGTTTAGTTTTTAACGCTTCCCTGTGATTCTGCGAGGTTATCCACCGAGATACTTAGCAGAATTTCCCCAAGGTATGCGAGCTCCATTCACTGAAACCTCAGGCGGGGCGCCGCTACGTTTTTTAGTACAATAGATAGCCTGCGTTTTCGAGTAATTAATTTTGATTAGCCACCGATCTGCCCATTCCAATACCTCATTCACCGCACTTTACCTGTCGTGAACCAGATTCCCGGTACGCGACTGGGCCACCAGTGCAGTGTCATCAGCATATAGATAGACTTCACAGTCGCTAGGGCAAGGGACATCATGCGTGAAAAGTGAGTAAAGGATTAACCCTAGAACCGAATCCTGAGGGACGCTGGCTCTGATGGGCCGAAATGTCGACAAGAAATTATTAATTTTGATCTGAAATTTCCTGCCTTCAAGGAAGGATTTCAAAAGTTTTAGGAGCCAAAATGGAAAGCCCTTTTGAATTAGTTTATTGAGAAGGCCTTTGTGCCACACCTTGTCAAATGCCTTCGAGACATCCAGAAGCAAGATGCCAGTACTTTCGTTAGGGGTGAAGCCCCTGATTACTCGCTCCACAAGCCTAACCGCCTGTAACTCCGTACTATGTTCAGACCGAAATCCAAATTGCACGTCAGGAATCACATGGTGCAGCGAGCTTAGACGGAGCAGATAGTAGGCTGATAGGACGATAGTCCTGGGGAAATATCGAAACCACCTTCTTTCGAATCATTATAACTTCCGCAGTCTTCCACCCCGATGGAAAGTACTGGGTCCTTAACATGGCATTGATAATAACCTCGAGGTAAGTCAAGGACTTCCGTGAAAGAAGCTTCAGCGCCTTATTAGTGATTTGATCCTCCCCAGGTGCTTTATATATGCATCTTGAGGTCTTTAATATGACCTTGAATCTCTGCTAGTGAGCAATGCGGAATCTCGGGAGATGCCGCTGATGCTCTGTGCAACTCTTCAGCTGAAGAATCTTCCGAAAAAGAATCTTCTGAGGAAGAATCACTAATGGCGGCGCAGGAATCACTGACGCCGTTGGCCCAAAAATATCTCCTGACGGATCTTACAATTTGTTGTTCCTCGTCGAGATCATTATCAAGGTCATAGTTGTGAGAAAACTGTCGTTACATAGCATCAGCGAAAACCTCGACCTTGTCCTCTGTCCTGTAGACTATGCCCCCAGAACCGTGGATGTGCGGGATTTGTTCTCGCTTTCCATTTCTGAGCGGCTTCGCCATTTTCCAGAGAGGAGTACTTGAGTCAAGCATCCCCGCCAGAAAGTCGTTCCATTGCTCATTGCGGAATTCATGGAGAGCATTTCTTACTTCATGAACAAGATTCGCCGCTCTGCGAACATCATTAGGATGACAAGGCCTTTTCGCTTGCTTAATTGCAGCGCTTTTGTCAGAAATTATCTGACGAATGTCTGTAGGGAGAGAAGGACTGCCGTGTTGTTGTACAGGAAGTACAGCTACACGCTGCAGAGCTTGCTGAACGAAGCTTGTCCACTCTGCGCATCTATACCGTTCTGTTCATCTATGATCGGCATATTAGGGAACTCTCTAAGAAACAACTTGTATAGTTCTCAATCAACTCGTTTCCTTGGAGAAGTTCCATAAGGACTTCCAGATCCGCATCCTGCAGCCTGGCACCACACCTGACATACACCGATGTGATCTTCAACGGAACACCTATTGTCATATTGACCTCCACGGAAGCCGCCTCAATGCTGTGCATTTCGGTATTTGTGCTTCTATGATAGTCAATACCACGTTTTACTAGGACTGCCAAGCCGCCACCCCGTCCAGTGAATCTATCAGCTCGGATAACCTCATAATTTGGGAAAGCTAGACGATCTCCCGGATTAAGCAATGTTTCCTGCAACAGAGCCACATCTATACTCTCATCCAAAAGTACTTGATGAAATTCCCGTTTTTTGGGAATATCTCTAAGACCCAAACAATCGCAGAAAAGAATTTTGATGAATGCAGGCTGTCTACTATTGTACCTAGCCATTTATCGGAAAGATCGCCTGCAAGGCCTGTGTAGCGCTTATCAGGGAACTAATTATATGCTGCAAGGACCTGAGCGCTGTTACCAGGTCCACGTTTTGAGCAGTCGAAGGTGAGCTCGGGGCAGCAGGGGCAGCTAGAATTTCAACCTTTGCTGCGTCTGCGTATGATTTTACTCGCCTTTATGCGATGACCTCTAGATTTCTCCTAGGAGTGAATCTACAGGTAGAACTGTTAGCCGGATGGTCCCCTCCACAGTTCGCACATTTGCGCGCCTCTTGTCGCGTTTGAGGGCACAGATGTGTCATGTGATCTTGAGCACATTTGAGACACTTTGCAGGTGCAATGCAATATGATTGCGCGTGTCCATACTTCTGACAGCAGTGTCACTGCCCAATGTGTCGAGAGTTCTTTTGAACCTCAACTCTGATAGAGAGCCCCAGCAGTTCATGGTCGTTGAACACTTGCTGTGACTTCTCTGTCTTAGGCCCGTATCGTCAGTCGTCCCTACAATTGTAGCCTTTATGGCCTCCTTGATTGTCAGTTTTCTACTTCTCACTGTCAGCGCTCTATTTTGAGGTTATCTCACAAACATCTATTTGCATCAAATTGTGCTTGCTTCTGAGTTATATCATGTTTTATCAGCCTGAAATGCCCTACAATTTAAAAAGAAAACATGTCTTCACAATAGGAGAGCGCTGACACAGGACAAGTGTAATTTAGAAATTTTTGAAGGAGAGAAAGGAGTATGACGACTGACGATACGGGCCTTAGGCAGGATCACCACTACCAAAGGCATGGGCAAGCCGCCGTTGCGCTTCAAGCGAATTACGTGGAGGGGAGTATATCCCTTCTGTTCGAGCTCCTCTTTGATTTCCTGCTCAACATTTGACGCTGGGATTCCTGTAATAACAGCGTGAATGTTACGCTCAGAGGGCAGGGGAAATGTATGGTGAGGAACATTTTCCTCTTTGAAAAGACGAATTATCTTCCGATAATCGTCTTTGCTTTTAGGTACGATGCGTATCCCAACATCAACAGCTACTGCTCAATCAATCTTAATACCAAGACTGATAAAAGATTAGTTGACCGTGCGCCAATTTGCCGCATCCCGCAGCACAATCGGTGTAAGACGCCCCTGACGGGTTGACTGTGCCTGCGTGCCGAGGGTAGCGTTAGATGACGAAGATGTAGTGTTGCTGCCGCTGTGATGGAGGGATCGCCTGGTAACCCCTCGGACGTGCGTTCCATCTTATATTCGCCTTTTCTCTCAGCAAATACTCAAAATTTTTAAGGAGCAAAAACACTATATGTCTTGTTGTTACTATGTAGAATGACACTGTCCGTCACTCCGCCTAAGAAAAAATTGAAATTTGTACTAAGTGACCACAGGGTGTAGATTTTTCCGATTTTTTCTTTTTTTTAACCGACTTCATCAACCATGCATTACCTGTCTTTGTTTTTCGTTTCAGGTTTGAAGTGGGCCTTAATCTAGAAGTTGTAGATAAGAATCGTATATCTCAAGTGAAACTAGCAATAGTACATAAGATTATAGGAAAAAGGTTAAATGTTAAATACTTCGACTTGCCACCAGACGACGGTGGCTTTTGGTGTCATGAAGACTCACCATTGTTACACCCTGTTGGTTGGGCGAAGAAGGTGAGATTATTGAAATAGTGAAGTTTTATAAAAAATGTCTTCGCATTTTCTCTCCTGCTTAACAATTGGAGCTCTCATTGAAATGTCTGTTTCTGGAGCTTTTCTTCGAGATTTTGGATAGACCTTTGGTGCAAAAAGGTGTTAACTAAATTTTTTCGGATTTTAAGATTTTTAGTGCAAAAAGGTGTAAAAAGGGTTATTTTTTTGGTAGTACATCAACCAGCCTAAAGATGGCTCTCAGTTCTTAGATACAGAGATCAATAAAAGTGTTAACTATATCAAAGACTTCAATCTGTAAACTTTAAAGGATGTTAAGTCAAGAGCTAACACCTTTTTTTTTACTCAAATTTCGATTTGTTTACGTTCGAAAAGTTTTGTTTTTTTGATTTTTACATTTCCTTTTTTAAATGGATAAGATATGTGAAGTTTTAGTTTTTTATTAGTTTGTAAGATTATATAACAAAATAAATTCACGCAATTTGGTCCATAGACATATCAGATCATTCCCTGAGGAATTATCTCATTTTTTCAATTTTGGATTTGGTTCTCCAAATATTCTGTTTTGCGATGTAGGAGCGAATGAGGAACATTCGGCAAATTATAAAAAAGCTTTTGGCGTACAAAAATCTGATGGAGGAATAGCAAAAACAAACGAAAAAATCATATACCTCGCATTTGATTGACAAAAAACGCATCCCTTGCCGAAAATATCTGCTAGGAAAGCCTTCTATTCACACAAGTATGGCCCTGCAATCTAAGAATACATTTGGTATCAACCCAGCAACCAAATGGTAATGGTTTTTTTCACGTCTGGACCGAAGGCCAAAGAAATCGCGGTCCTGGAGAGATTGGCAGCTCACTTATGGCCTTTTTGGAAAATATAAAGGGCCAAAGCATGACTTCCGATCATCTGATTGCATCGTGGAAAAAATAAATATTTTTATATTGTCTGTTTATGGCACTACCTAATAATCTCTGGAGTGTTCAAAAAAATTGACCATAAGTTTCCTGAAGTAGGACATACCTTCATGGACTCTGAAAGAAATTTTGCAGCTGTTGAAAAGTCTGTCAGAAAGCACTAATTTATACGGTGAATCAATATATTTCAATCATGGCAGAAGCCAAGAAAAAACACCTTTTAATATTACAAGAATGGCGGACAAATTTGTTGATATTAAAGGACTTCCAAGAAAACTTGGACTGGGCTAAAGAAAAAAAAACAACCAATGAGAAATTTTTATTCAGAGATGTAAGATGGATCCAGATTGAAGAATTTGGTGTAACCAAGTACAGATACCCTTTTATTGAAACGGAAAATTGAACTATTGTTAATATAAGAAAACAGCGAAATATCTATAGAAGAGTAGAAAATTAACCATTATTATTGAATGTTGATAGAAGCCGACCTATTGGGGCCAAAAAGTTTGATAATATTCAGAAACAAATTCCTTTAATACCAGGAAACATCAGAGGCTTTTATCAAAATTTAAGAAGAGGATACGATTAATTACAGTGTGTGGATTATTTGTTATTAATTTTGTGAGTTTGTTGAAAAAAGAACAACGTTTACTTTTAATAAATAACATTATTTAATTAACACCTTTCTGCTATTTTCATTTTCTGGATCAAGCAAATAACAGCTTTTTAAAAAGGTGTTAAGTCAGATTTTCAACAATCTTTTTCAAATTTCTGATAATAAAAACAATTTTTTTAACAAAACTGTTTGTTCGATATACTTTTATATTTGTCTTAAATAACCTTCAATAATAAAAGCAGCCCTAACCATATTCAATAAAAAATGTCAAGATTTAAACTTTGAGGCCAATTATCTCCAAACTATAAAATCTGAGTCAATACGTCTTTGCACCAAAGGCTTCAATTCATTTCTTTACATGTACGTACATTTTGTTGATTGATATGAATCGTTCCTTTCAGGTAAACCATCATATTGTGGCTCCTGCAAACTACTTAGAACGCGTTAGTCAGGGTATTTACGATGAAGACGATGCTACCGAGGAACTATTCAATCCTTATCAAGCTGGCACTCCTGAATACCATAATTCAGGTTTTTGCATTGGAATGAAACTGGAAGCAGTCGATCCATTGAATCTTTCATCTATATGCGTAGCCACAGTTATGGATGTTCTCAATTTTGGGTATATCATGATCAGAATAGGTAAAATTTTTTTTTTAATCGTTCATTTTTTTAGCATTAATGCTACAATGTCCATAATATCCATATTAAACAGTATATCACAAAATATTTTATGTCTTCAAGACTACATATTTTTATACAAAATTTCACTACAATGAATTTTGATTTTCCATGAGATATTTTTTCAAATTCCCTTTGAACATTTTCAAACTGACACACATCTTGATATCATTACTTAGTTTATTAAATTCGTACAATCCCTTTTGAAATACTGACTTGCTCGTTATATTGCTACTGCAGTTTTGTAAATGAAAGTCTATACTTGCTCTAGTAGAATAATTGTGGCACCCATTGTTCAATACAATAAAATTTTATAAGTGATTTGGTAGAAGATGATTTTTTAACTTGAATATGAAAATGAAAACCAAGAAGGCTGTGATATTTAGCCATTGTAGTTCTTTCAGGATAAAATTTATTCTAGTATATTTATTTTTATTTAAGATGATTCTCATAGCTTCATTTTGTAATATTTGTAATTTTGAAAATACAGTTTCATTTGCAGTGAACAAAATAGTCGAACAATATAACAAATGATTAAGAATGATAGTGTTGTACACAATTTTTTTGGAATAGACGCTTAGGCTATGCAAAATTCTATAAAAGTAATTTATTTTCTTGGATATTTTTTAAATAATATATCAATAGTGCCCTTCAAATTTTAATTGACATCTACGTATATGCCCAAATATTTAAATGATTCGATTGACACAATTTTTTCATGATTAATTGTAAGATTTATCGTATTTTGATCTAAAGATGTTCCTATTAGCATATATTTTGTTTTGTTTCTGTTTAGTTTAAGTTTATTTAACCAATTTATTACGTTTTTCATATCATTATTTAACAGCTTTATTGAACTTTCAATGTCTTTATTTGATTGATATATAAATATATATTAATGTATCATCAGCAAATAGTTGAATTTTGCGGTGTTGTAAGATATCAGGAATATCATCAATATATAAAATAAATAGTAATGGACCTAATTTGCTACCCTGTGGCACACCTACTGAAATGTTTTTAATGTTTGACAATGTATTGCCAATTTTAGTTCTTTTCTATTGAAATCGATAGCAATTTCAATTTCGTTAACAATTTCCCCCTGTCAGTAGTCTCAAATGCTCTCTTGAATATTTCGCCTCCATTCTTCTACTACCATTTGAATTGCTGTTTCAGTAGAACACTTTTTTCTGAATCCTGCTTCATAATGATGAATATCAATCTCCATATCTTCAATATCTTCTGTAATATGTGTTTCAGTCAAGCAAAGAACTAATGGTTTCACTAATATTAAAAATTTTATAACGTCATCCCTGTGCGATATATTGTTAGAATATCTTTTGGCCTGTAATTGCTATTTGTCACCGTAAGAAACTTTATTTTTTGATTTTTCATATTCGATTTGGACCATGTTGCAGCTATAGTGGAAGGATGAGTGATTTATATAGAAATTTGTGCTGTAGTTCAAATTTGATTCTCTGCAATTTGGAAATGTTATTTAATCTTTTGATATCATACAGTTCTGGGCCTTATGATCACTATTATCACATTATAAACAAATACTGGTCTTGGTGCAATTCTTTGCTCTGTATTGAAATCCGCCACTGTTCACCTCAGAAGATCTATCATTTATGAATCGAATTTTGTTATCAATGAAAATAAATGACGCCAAATATCCATTGAAAATGTTATCTTTTAGATACCTATGATATGGATGTCACTGGAGCAGATTGGTTCTGCTATCATGTCAAGTCACCATGCATATTTGCCATGGGCTTTTGTGAAAGACATAACATCCCCCTTACACCACCAAAAGGGTAAGTTCAAAGATTGAGTTTAAATAAACATACCATAAAACATTTTACAATGGCAGATGGGTTTTCATCAATGCATAGGTTCTATTTTAGGCAGAATTTCTGGTTTTGGCATTTCTTAACACATTTTTCCCTGGTGTTATATATCCTCATTTGCATAAATGATATATTATTTTATAAAATATACTTTTAGGTATGATCCAGCGAATTTCAACTGGAGAGCATATCTGGCCCAAACTAACAACAGGCCGGCAGATTCAAGATTGTTTAACCATCACGTGCCACAGCACGGATTTCACCAAAACATGAAGTTGGAAGCAGCAGACTTGATGGATCCTCGCTTGGTCTGTGTTGCTACCATCGCAAAAGTTGCAGGTAAACCACCTGTGATAGATCAAATAAGGATAATAAGGATCCTATACATGGGGATCTCAATACCTGTAGGAGATACAGCTTAGGTTAAATTGCCGTTGAGAAACTTGTAATAATTTCATTACTGAGATATTTGGAAAAAACAATAATTTGGCCAAATCATTTTTTTTTATTTATTTTAAGAAGTATCAAAAAACTAATGAAACTTTTGCATTGGCACATTTAAGGCACTACATGATGGTGTTCTTAAATTTAGTGCCTGACGGTTCGTTTTTGAGAACCTTCATCAACTTTATTTTTTCATGGTCCGATAAAAAATGTATATCGTAGCATTTTTTCATACGAATCCAAAGATGTATCACATGTTACATTTATTTTCTTGGTTATAAAGAAAAATGCGTTTGTTAATATTGCTTTATAGTCGGCAAAGATGCCAGGCGGTCATTTTAGTAATGAAAGCAAGTTCGGCATGTTGACGTGCTACATTTTGTGCTACAGAAATACTAAAAATACTGCCGAAATTCATCTTGATACATTTAGCGAAAGAAGGCAGTCATGTAAGTCCATTTCCAGAATCAGATGTTAACTATTCATACAGTTTCTTGTTTACCGACAGCTAAACCTCTGTTCGAATAGAACAGAACTTTCGCACCGGCGGGCCGTCGGCTATATAGGTCTCTTCTACCGCTAAGCTAAGGGCTTTGCTCCTCAGAGTTCTCCTTGATGATGCAGCCGCGCGATGTGCCTGCCAGATAGACCTCGGCCTCCCATCCTAACCGAGTCGAACTTCGTACATCCAGAACTGGCAGATACAACCGCTCCTTTGTCCCTAGGGTGTCGAGATTGTGGAGCAATCTACATGACGAGCCCTTTTCCAGTACTACTAACCTTGGGCAGTTTAAAAATCGATTAACAAAGTTCGTTTAAGCTCGTAATGGCAGCCGTGATGCCCTGGCATTTAGGCTTTGTCTGCGCGGCTTCTTAGGGGAGCGATGCCCGAGTTTTTTTCGGAAGACGAAGGCTTTGAAGATCTACTGCAGGAGAATGAAACCCAAAAACCTGAATTTTGTGGAGTAAACAGTGCCACAATTCAACAGCAAGGAGTTCTTGTATCATTTTCGAGTGAGCAAAAAAAGTAGCAGTAAAAGTTTCTCTGAAATTCCGTGGTAATAACCATTTTAAATATCAGGCAGCGCCATATGGGAAGCTAACTCCGTATAAAGAAACCTGTATATGTTCATTGTTTGAGTGGATGTCAAACAGCCATCTTCTGGGATGTAGCTGATAGCTTCCAGGTTTCCGTGAGTACCCTGCATGCAGTTATACCCAGAATGGCCAACTTTTTGAGCAGTCTGACACCAAAAATCATAAAATGGCCAACAGAAGAAGAAAGATATAGGTCAAAGTAGTATTTCTACAATAAAACATAGATTTCCTGGAATCGTTGATATGATGAAACCCATATAAAGATTCACAAACCATAGGATGATCCGTTATCATATATAAATAGAAAACTATATTACTCTATACAGGTGGGTGTGATTATAAGCATGTACCTATACACCAAGTAAAATTACTGATTTCTGAATATATACAGTTTATCTAATGTTAGCTTGAAATACCTGTTGGGTTTAGCTCCGATCGTATGTAATCGTTCCTTCCATACTCTAATTTCCAATTATTGCTTTATTACTATATACATCTCGAAAATACGAGTAGGTATATATTTTCCATGATATAATTATTATATATTATAATTATTTCCATTCCGGACACAACTTATATACGACCAAGATTTGGAAATTATCAGTATTTTTAATGGTTATTCGGGCTCTTCACGTGATGCTAGCGTTTTTAGGTTGTCACCAGTTTTTTCAACACTGGAGCAGAAGTGTGGTACCGATCACTTACTCGCATACCCCTTGTTACCAAAGCTCTTAATTCGATTCCAAGACAGTGGGCAGTTATCATTCGGACAACTAAACTATACAGAAAACATTCTTCAAATCGCATTCTAGTAGAGTACTGCAATGGCCATGTAAAGCAAAAATGTACGCAATTCTATCACGTTAAGAAGCATCAGACAGGCAGTGCATTTCATACGAACGTCCTGCGTTGTACACAACTTGTCTATAGCTGTTAATTTTGCAGCAGAGCACACTGAACATGATGGTTATAATAATCACCTCAAATTTCATTCATCAGAGCTAAGCGATGTGGCCGAGATTAGTGATGGCGCTCAAAAGAGGAACTGTATTGTCAAGTTAATTACACGTATATTCGGCTATAAGGTGTCCCCACTTAAGTTTTTTATAGGTCTAATATAAAATTATCTTTTATGAACACAATTTCAAAATATATCTATTCATATTTGATGCAATCCCAAATCAGTTTCAGCTATCAATATTTGCTCAGTATTTTTATTGGCCCTGCAATAGCAGAAATGCAATTTCTAGATTCAGTGTGCAAAATCTGTACAATTGAGGGCAAAACTTTCAAGAACCATATTTAATCCTATTTTTTGTAAACACTGATCTTACCATAATTTTGGTAACACAAAATACGAAATTACGCGATTTAAGTCTTATTTTGTTCCTACCCGCGTTGCTAGTTGTCATGTTGATCAACTTTGCCATCTCAAAAATTTATATTATTACTAATTGTCCCTTGATGAGTTTATGTATAGTCAACGCCAAACAAAGTGGCGTGCACGTCATCAAGGTGGGTGTGTTGAAAAATTTACATTGTTGCCAAACTTTTTGTAAAATAATAAAATTTATTATTTACATATCTAGGTTTATAAGCAATATTAACCTCAAATGAGAACAAAAATAATAGTATAATAAAATTATAGATCTGTACTTGCATAATCATTAAGTATGACAATTATTGATCAGATGACACTATGAAACTACCATATTTAATTGATAGCTTAAAGGTACTGAATAAAAATCCAAATGGGGTCCTCCAAATTTTATGCTTGGTATTTATTTTACAGAATTCATACAGAAAAATGCATTCTAAAATTAGGTAAGCTACTGGTGTAAGCTTTTTCTGTACAATAAAGTTAGTCGGAGTTTCTTTCTTCAGCGCTGTCTGAATCCGAATCTTCATCACTCTCAAAGTTGATTATTAAAGGTACGATGTCTGGTCGATCAAAAATTCGTTCTCTTTCATACCATTTAAAAATTTCTTGCTCAGTATGTCGAACACTATTTTTCCACATGTCTGGGGTAACCGTTTGTAGAGCCTCGTTCCACATATCCAAACAGTCTTTTTCACTGTTACCATCTCTACCAATATGTCTGTTATAGTAACCTTTTGCTATGCCCCAAATTAACTCAATAGGGTTAAATATACAATGGCAAGGAGGCAGACGAAGAACTTTGTGCCCATGTTGTTCCGCCAATTCATCAATCACGTATATTTTAGGTGGTTTGTTTCTAAAAAAGCAGTTATTTTAAGAATAGGAATAAACAAAAGAAATATAAACTGTCGACCAAAATATATATAATTAAGAAGCATTATGTACCGAGCAACAATACTCAATAGCTCTGTTTTAAACATTGTGTTTAAAAATGGTATGTTTTGATTTGTCAACCAGTCTTGGATATTTTTTTTGTCCATGCATTGTTGGGCACTTTGTTCAATATCATGCTGTGATAAGGGGCGTTATCCAGTATAATCATAGATGGACTCTCCAATTTTTCTAATAACTGATGTTGAAACCATTTCAAAAAATTGTCCTGGTTCATCTCTCCATGGTAATCGCTCAATTTTGTTTTCGAAGAAAATATCGCTTCACTACCCTCAATAAACCCATTTTTATTTCCAGCATGTAATATAATGTATCTAAAATATATTAGTTTTAAATTTTATAGTGCAAATTGTGTAAAAGTACATACCTTTTACCATCTGTTTTAATAGCTTTCACGCTTTTTTGGTTTACATTTTGCCAAGAGCGACCTATGGTCCCATTTTGAAATATCCAAGTTTCATCGAGGAAGACAAACTGGTATAAGGCCTCAACCTTGGCTTGATTGTATTGCCTTAGAAATTCCACCCTTTTCAAAGCTATACTTGGTAGTTCCATGAGCCCTCGTCGCGGATTGTCCTTAAGCCACTTAAATCCAAGATCTCTAAGCAACCGCCTTAAAGACGTGGCACTACCATCAAATAATGCCCTATCTCTTAATCGAGACCATAAAGTTTGTATCGTAACTTGTTCTTCTGAAACCATGTGTAATATGACATTATAATTTAGTTAACAAATTAATGCAAATTTCTGATAAGTTATTATAATAAGATCTTACTTTTGTGATACATATTATAGATCACTTCTCGAATGGCACTTGTATCCAATGTCGCTGTGTTGGTTACACGTTTAATATAACTCCGCTTTTTCTTGGGCGATTCTAAATTTGCATCACTTTTCACACCCTCGGAAATACGACTAACTGTCCTTAAACTAATTTTTAAAGCAGCAGCAACACGCTACAAAAAATGAAATAAAATTTCACTATTATTAATATACATTACATATAATTATTAGTAACCTACCTCTTGAACAGCATTTAAAGGCAACAAAGGCCCGTTGTTGTCCCTTTCTTGCTCAAAGTAGTGCATTAACGAGGCCACGAGTTCCTTACACCGACTATTTAACTGTTTGGGCATCTTTATATACCAAAATTGCCTTTATCTACTCGTAAAATGAATAATTTTGTTTTGAAACAAACAGTTGTTGATTTACAGTATGCGGGGCCAAAGGATTTATAAAGATTTGAAATGCCACAAATTGATTCAGTGTCAAAATTAATACAAATGTCAGTTCCCAGTTTAAATAAGTTTCAAGGTGACAATGTGTCAACGCTGCGAAATCGGTTTAGTGCGTTTACATGTCGATAAGTGATTGGAGCGTTTGCAAAACATTTTATTTCGCATAATGCGTCTAAATTTATCAGAAAGCAACTTATGTGATATTTTAATAACAATGTTTATATGAC